CTTGTATACGGAAATATTTACGAATTTATTATACTGTTTTTCTACGTTTTTTATACGTTTTTTAAACATATTATTTCCGTATACTTTCCTTATACTAATTATTTATAGGGCAGAAGTAGGTCTTACTAAAAAAACTATAGTAAAAAACGCTTTTACAGCTTTGAAAATGCCTTTTTACTAAGAAAATCATAGCAAAAATGCTTCTGTAATTTCAGAAATACTTTTTTACTAAGATAATTATAGTAAAAAATGCCTTCACAGTTTCAAAAATGCTTTTTTACTAAGAAAAACATAGTAAAAAATATCTTTGTAGCTTCAGAGACGTTTTTTACTAAGAAACCTAGTAAAAAAACACGTCTGCAACTTTAGAAACATTTTTTACTAATAAAATAGTTACATTATAAAGTTTTTAGTAAAACTGAAGCTATGATAACAGTTATTACTAAGTTTCTTAGTAAAACTAAAATCACAATGGTGATTATTACTAAGTTTTCTTAGTAAAACTAAAGCTACAATAGCAGTTATTACTAAATTTTCTTAGTAAAACCAAAGCTGCAATAGTAATTATTACTAAGTTTTTTTAGTAAAGTGAAGCTATAATAGCAGATATTACCAAGTTTTCTTAGTAAAACTGAAACTGCAAAGTTATTTTATTAAGTTTAATAGTAAAAATTCACCTGTTATTAAACTTACTTTATAAAAGCTATTTTTAAAATTTTTTAGTGTAATTACTAATAATTTTCTTAATTAAAATTTTAGAATAACTTTATATTAATATAATTAAAAAAAAATTTATATTTGATTTGATTTGATCTGATTTGATTTAATTTAATTTGATTCAATCAAATATTTAATTCAATTTGATTCAATTAGATCAAATTTAAATCAATTTAAATTAATTTAATCAAATATTTGAGTTTAATTCAATTCAATTCAATTCAATTTGAAAAAAATCAAGTCAATTCAAATTACTTAAATATTTGATTTAATTCGATTTTATGGAATCCTAATTCTACTAGAATTAAAGTTTAATCATTTTTTTAGAATAATTTTTTATTATTTTATCAAAATAATATTTTTAATCATTTTTTTAGAATAATTTTTTATCATTTTATCAGAATGATAATAAAAGTAAAAAATTGTTTAATTTTTAGCTCAAGTTTAACATTTGAATCAACTTGATTGAATTTGTCTGACTCATAATTTGAGTTGACTTATTCAAAACTCAAACATAATTTATTATACAATATATAAAATCTTTGCTAAATATGAAATATATATTTTTTAATATATATATTAAATATTGAAAAGATGTATATATCACAGTATACTACATGATATTTAGTGTGCATCACTCTTAAATAAAATTTGTATTAGATGATGATTAATAAAATCTTATTGTATTGATTGATTTATGATGTAATAATGAGTTTATATAATAATCATTTCACATAGTAAATAATACACATATTCATTTTATTTTCTTTTATTCTCACGCTCTCTTCTCTTTTATTTCACGTATAAAACTTAAAAACATCTTTCTTTCCTTATCATTTTAATTTTTTTATCATGCTATGGATGCTTCAAAATGACCTGATTTGTCTATTAAGCCTATTATTAATAAAAATACAAAATATGTTAATAATACTTTTAAAGAAAATTTGAATAATAAAACCTTCTTTAAAATATGAACTAAAAATATTAGTCTTAATACTACCTTTGCTTCTTGAGAAGAAGCTGAAATATTTCTTGAGAAATATGAGCGTCGTAATAGATTTGTTATAAATAAGTATCGAATGATAAAAAATAAATCCAATCAATTAGTTACAAAAAGAATTTTTATGTATGAATTTGACAGCAAATTCAAGTCAAATAAAACGAAAATAACTGAAAATCAATGAAATACTAAAACCAAAAACACCAATATTCCTGGCACTTAAACTTGACTTTTTCAGAACATTCTGCAAATATTATTATTAGTTTATTTGTAAATGAATATAATCATGATAATTATGAGTTAAGTAAGAATAGTATTGAATATGAAAAGGAAGTAAAGAAAGAAAAAAGTAGTGGTTCAAGCTGAAATACTTATAAATATCGTATATATGAGCAATTTGGTCATAATGCAGCTTATCATAAAAATAACAAACTTAAAGAACATCAAAATATTTAAACTTAATTATTTTTATCATAAGAAAAATATAATAGCATTAATTTTAATAAAGTGATATATTGACACATTGCCTGTAACGTAAAATATTTTTAAGTTAAGATATATTAGCATCATATTCCTAAAGTATGATTTAATAAAATCACAGAATGCAATGCACAATTTTTTCCTTAAATATTTTAATAAATTTAACTTATACTATAATAAACATAATAAATAACAAAAATTTACAAAATATGCTATATTTAAAAATTATTAAAATGACAGGTCATTTGTCATTTATCATTTAAGTTATTTGCTAATCATAATCATAATCATTTGGTGAACACTATCATAATCAGCTAAATAGAGTAATATAGAATACTTTTTCTATTATTAAGAAAACTATGTCCAATAATATTGTCTAATAGTTTTTAACATATGACTGTATATTAATAATAATAGTAATAAAAAATAAATGAATTTGAAATATAAAGTTTTTTTTAAATAAAATTAAAGTAATTGTTTCATTACAAAGGTTGTAACTTATTATTGTAAAATAAAGTATAATTTTTATAGCTTTCTTTAAATAATTATATAACTCTACTTTAAATAGAACTAGATATAAGTCCAATAGTCCAATAAAATTTGGAATTGGAATGGACAAGGTCTAATAGTCCAATTGTCCAATTGTCCAATTGTCCAATAATCCAAAAGGCTATCACTGTACATATTTAATCAAAAAAATAAGAAGCGGACCGAAGATGCTATGCTAATTCCTGATTATTGTGAAACTTTATTATTACTCGTTTAAAGTATCTAGAATTACTATTGATTCTTTCTTTTTTTCCATCTATAATCGTGTAATTTAGCCTTTGAATTATATCAGAAAAGGTTCTATCATTATTGGTGATAATTAAAAAGTCTAAACATTTCATGAGATTCAAATGATTAAAAATTAATAGAACTATAATTCTAAACAGAATTATCCAATTGGTTATTAATTTTATTAATTTTTGTATTTTTTATATACTGTATGTGGAAAAATCGACATTTTCATAGAATGAAAAAAATTAGATTTCCATTTCGTCAAATCGAATTTTCCACCAATTACAGTATATCCATATTTTATTTTATAAGTTAAAAAAAAACCACAACTGCGATATTAAAAATGTAATTATCCTTTTAATATCATCTAAAATCACACGACATTTCAATTCCACTATTTTGCAATCTATTTTGATTTTAAAAAAATTATTGAAGAAAATTAAAAATGGTGGTAAACTTTAATATTAACCTTACCCGCATTTTTCATAGAAAGGAATATTCTGTAACAATTTAAAATATATATTAAAGAAAGAATTGATAACATTTATCATTAATTACGAAATTTTACCTCGACAGAACAATCCAAAATAGCTGTAGTGAATAAAAACATCATATCTAAGATGCAATTACTGAACAAACAAAAAATAACAGTATATAAATTTCACCTTTAACACATCCAATTTTAACTCCAATATATTTGAGAGCTTGAACAATACTATAATAAAAAAAAGTATTTACTTCCTAATTATTTAAGAATAAATTTAATGTATAAAATCTTCTTTAAAAAGTTACCTTGAACCGAAATGTTTGCCTTGATGATTTGTATCAATGGCCACATCCTCTATATGTCCAACCTAATTTGTAATAAAAAGGTCATAAGAAATTAAAAGTGTAAAGATAAATTGTTTCGAATCAAAGAAGATACTAACACGTCCAGCATTAAATATAAATTTATGCTCGACAAAGATTGCTCCGGTTCCGATAACTCGATCTTCGGGTGATATAATTACGACAACAAAGTATTCATCTTGACGTGCTTTCATATAATTAAATCGTTCTAAAAATTTATTAATTTTTAATAAGGTAATACATTTAATAGCCGTCAGAGTGAAATATCTACCAAGAAATTGATCTTTGGAGAGTTCTCCTATGTCATTAAAAACGGATAGAATATCAAAAAAACCACGTTCATAATCATCAATAGATAAGGGTCTTAAGGTATAACATTTGGGTAACGACGCTTGAACTTCAGATGAGATGAAATCATTTGAAAAAAGGAGGGTTTCTTGAACAGACATCGTTCATTACTTGGAATGCTTTTTTAAATCAAATTTATCAACTAATGATTTAGTTAGTTACACAAATATCATTTGTTTGTTACACGAAAGATAAACATACTACTTTTTAACGACAGAAATATCCATTTCTTTTGTCTTTTCCATGAAAATCAAATTCTTTAATTTTCCGTACTATAAACAAGAACATACTAATGAAAGGATTAAAAAAAAAAAAGATTTTTGTTAATCTCTTTTATTTCATCATTGTATATCCTAATTTGGAGATATCTTCGTTACCAAGAGTTTTTAAGATATGTCGTTTTCCAGAAGCTGTACAATTAAGATTGTAGGTTTAATAAATAAAAATTTTAATCTATTGTATTAAAAAATATATATTATTTACCTTGTTAAACAATCCATAATATGTTTCATAACATCGCTTTACCGATCCGTTTAGCATGTTCTTGTTCAAGAATTTTCGAATAATTGGCTATCAAGAAAATGGAAAATTGGTTTTTATATACTATATAGAAGGTTTGCTAGGAAAATGGGGTTCTGAGAATTTTTTTACAAAAATTTAATTCTTATTGCATTTTAATCTAATATCATCAAAAATTAAAATGCAATAAAAAAAAATTTTATTAAAAATTCTCAGAACACCATTTTCCTAGCAAACCTCCCATATACTGTATACTATTAAAAAAAGTAAAATAAAATCAATACATACACCAACATCTTCAACATTGATAATGGCAAGAACATCATCGTCTTCCTCTAAATAAGGAAGAGCAATTTCAACACCGTTATTTTTCTGCTCCTTGTACAGTAGATGATTCTTTCAAAATTATCAGAATGTAACGCTTTGGAATTCCCAATATTCTAATATATTTTTCTACGATATTTTACCGGTCAAGTTAGCTACTTTCCGTTAGATTCGGTGGCAGCAATATCAGGAAAACCACTACATATTAGGCATTAAAGTTTTTAATGACTTTTATTCTCTCATTTAGTTCAGCTTCAAGAAAAAAAAACAAAATATAACGATAATAATAATAATAAATTAAGCATTTAATATTACCGGATCCCAATAATTAGTATTAACAAATGCAATCTTGACACCTCTCAGAGCATTCTCGATATATTTTTTTCCCATAGCTACCAATGCCTTTGCCTTTTCAGAATTTACGTTACGAGTTAATGCTCGAACTCTATAACGATCCGTAAGAAGTGAATTAGCAACGGATCCACCTTGTGCACTGATTTTTTTTAAAAAAAAAATCAAATATTTTATTCACATCTCTAAATAAATGACTGCGTATAAGTATTCTTTATACCTTTTACCTGTAGAACCGAATACAACAACTAAAGGTTTTTGAGCTTTTGCTTTTTTGTCTACAAAATATTTTCACACCATTTATAATCAATGAGTTCCTTGGATAATAAAGTTATCAATTTGAATTAGTAAGGGAACTGAAAACCATGAAATATTTCTGTTTTCATGTTTTTGGCTAAGTCGATTAAGGTTATATTGAAGATTAAGAATTGGTGAAATAGTTAACAGCATAATGAAAAAAGTAAGAAAATTTTTAGTGGAACATTTGGATTTGAAATAATGGTCCGAATTTATCCAGAAATATTGGATCGAGGAAATATATACACGATATAGCTTTGCCTATAAATCATTATTGATTGTTATTTATCTCTTTTTGATTGAATTAATAATGAGCATTATTGGTTTCGAGAAAGAAATATATCGGATTTCTCTACTTTTCGTCCGCTTTTATAGATCAAGAATTCGGAGGTTGTCGGATAAATGCATTTATTTAGAATTTTCTGAATTCTTTTTAATTTTATGATCAACATAAATTAGATCACTTTTTTAATGCCGAATTTTTCAGTTACAATTGCAACATATTTGATATTATTCAATAGCTTTTAGTACCATATTAATTAAGATTGTTATATGCTTTTGACTTTGATTGCGTAAATTTAAATACTGTATATTTAAATTATCTTAAATTATTAATAATTCCTTGGTTATATAGTTGGAGATGTATAATGGTATTTAAAGAAAAAAGCTTGAAAATAATATTGTAAATTATGTATTAAGTATTGATTAGAAGATAAATGTTTCAATATTATGTTTTTATTTGAACATCAAGTTTTTTTTAAATATTGATTTCAAATTGAAATTTGCATCCAAATTTTTTTTTTTTGATTTCAATAATAATTAGAAGAAACATTTATTATATTTTTAAAGATTTAAAGATTTATATTTATATAAATAACTTATAAAATTTTAACACTTAATTATATTGCAAGTAAATTTCATTATATTTACTAAATAAAACTCATTTCATTAAAATTAAAAATATTTTTTATAATCTTTTAAAATATAATAAATTCCTTTTATATATTATATTGAGATTTTGAAATGATACATTTAATACTTTTCTATATATCATATTATTCTGAAAATATACACTTTATGTTTGCTGTAATAGTGCTTATTTTTGGTATTTTTTATAAATTATTTGTTAGTGACATATCAAGAATAATAATACTTCCTAAATACATTATAAATATCTATTTTTGAGTATGATGTACATAATATGATGAACTTTTACATTGAATTTAAAAATATATTATGAAACTGAATTTTAAATGCATTATTCATTTAATATGATTTTACTAAACACAGCTACAGTTCCTATATTCTTAAATAAAAAAAAGTAATTCATTATACTATAAAGAATGAAAGAAGTGTAATGACAAGACATTATAATATTATTAATAGTAAAATTACTTAATAGATCAAAACAAATGAGAAATGAATTGAAATAAATCAAACTATTAAAAAAGTTGGTTCTAAGTGAAAAGAATTTTATCATGAAAGAAAAAGCTTTATAATTGGATTATAAAACAAATAAAAATTGGATTATATTAGTCAAATAATGATAAGTAGAAAACTAATCAGATCAAATCTGAGTTATCAGTTTTGACTTGATTGATCCCAAATTTTTTGTTTTTTTAGCATTATGTGATTCTAATTAATAATGAATAATAATACAAATAAGAAATATTAGGATTTTAACCAGGATGTTATAAAAATATCAATAGGGTTATTTTTATTAATATCAATTTATTAACATTCAGCCTCTAATTAGATTATTCCTAAGTCATCAATAAGGATTATTTTTAAATTAATAGTGTGTGAAGCTGTGATGATTTTTATAGAATTTTTATGCCACCTTTAAAGACGTAAGAATAGTTAACCTATAGATATTACTTAGGTCTTAATATCACATTTAAGAGTAAGGCAATCTTTCTACTATACTACCTAGTCATACCATATATACAAAAGTTCTTACTAATATTAACTCTTATGCCCAGAAATAGAGGATACTAACTTGATTAAGTTCATATCAAATATAGACAAAGAGATTACTTTTGATTGTTATCACCTGTAGGTTATTCAACTATTATCGCAGGGTTTATGGAATTATTATTATAAAATTTGCCTAAATAGTAAACTAGCGGGTGATTATTATATTTATTTTGTTAAATAACCTGAAAATTGAACCTGACTTCTGACCCTAATAATATGTCAATTAGTCAATATTGCAGCATTGTTATGACCGATTTGTAATTCAAATAAAAATTCACAAAAATTAATAATGCTAAGACTAAGGTTGCTGGACGAAATCAAGAGTTTAGACAGTCGTCTAAATGGTAAAAGTAAAACTTGGTTAAATTATATTAAA